TTTTTTTTTTTTTTTTTGTATGAATGCACATAGCTGACTCGTGAAAGGTTGTCCTGGAGAAACCGGAAGTTTTGGGAAGCAGGTTGGGAGTGCTGGGGTTTTGTGTCTGCCCAGGGTTGTGCCAGGTCGTTTACTACTTGGTCTGAGTCTATTAGTTGGATCCTTCTGTGGAAGCCATCAGGAGCAAGTGAGTTAATTCCAAGTGCTGTCAACACTAATTTCCCTACTTAGCATCTGGTGATGCAGGAAACAGTTGACACTGAAGCTCTTCCTCTGTTTCTGAAGACTTCAGCAGATTCACTGTTGATTTATGTCCTGCTCCTGTTGTAAAGGTTTTATTTGCAGTCCTAACGGCTGGAAGCCTTTTAAAAAGCCTTTTAAGAAGAACTTAAGAAGTTACCAGTCTAGAGCGCAATCCGGTGGCAACGGATGTGTCCCAGAACTGACTCTGTAGCTCTGGGGTCAAATCAGGAATATTTTCCTGTGGATATTAGCACTTGTAAAATACAAGTATTTTACAAGTTGGTTTCAAGTAAAATACATGGGGGCAGTAGGTCCCCTGTTTCTGCCTTGCCATCCCTCTTGCTTGTGGGTTACTGTGCACGTACAGGAATAGAAAGTGGAGGCTGCTGAAAGTGTCACAGCAAGACCCCTGGTCTGACAGCTGAAGAGAAATGTAAAGGTTGCGTTTTGGTGGAGAATGTAAATATTAAATGCTGGATGGATTTTTCTGAAGGTGGMTTGGGTAAAATACGTTGGTGTCTCCATACATGTGTGGGCAAGCTCCCTGTGATCTGTTCCTCTAGAAAGAGAAACACCAGTCCTGCTGTTGAAGGTAAGATGTAATAGTCCTTTCTTTTTTACACCAAATTTACTCATTAAAGCAGCGTCTGACTTGGCAGATGGTGCTCCTTTCTGCCTGCAGGTTTCCTTTAAATGGGAACAAAGCCAACACAGCCAGGATCTGGATAGAAATTACTCAATGGAAGGAATTTTAACTGAGGTACTCATGAGGAAAGGCCTTCATCAGGCAGAAACATCCATCCGTAGAGCCATGCATTAGTCAAGCTCTGCATCCTGCAGCAGGGAGGTCCCTGGCACCTCCTTTAGTCTAATACTTGGAACTGGTTAGAATTTCACTAATCATTTTAGAGTGGAAAAACAAGACATCCTCTTCGAGATACTCTAGCAGTGGCTCTGGCTATTTTTATCACGTGGCTTCGTTTGCCCTGCTTGGCATTGTGATTTGCTGCACGTTTTGGAAACGTGCTGTCAGCTTTGCTTCCGTTTGATTGAAATGCCCCCTGCATTGCTCTCCTGGTCCGGAAAATCTAATCTGGTTACTCACTTAGCAGCGTAATGGCATTTTGGCCCAGCAGGGCTGCTTCCAGCCAGGGAAAATGAAGGSGGGAATGGAAACAACACGCATCTGTCTGCAGGACTATGGCCTCTGTAAGGCAACTATGTGTTGGCCTCTCCCCTGCGAAGACAAAACCTCAGCTCTCTTTCCATAGTTGATCCAGAAATAGATGTCAAGTAAAATTATAGTCATTTCTGTTTCTATCCCTTCCTGGGTAGGCTGCCCCCTTCTGTTCACTTCACCTTTGGGGACTAAAATTTGCCCTTCTGGCATTGTCAGCAGCCTGAATGTTCTCTGCTGTTTTTCACGCATTAATCTCTTATTTTGGAAAAATGGGAACTGAAATAGGTGACTACCTGTCTACCTGTGAGGATGAGTGCGGACTCCTGCAACTTGCCTTCCCATAAAGAGCTTACAGTTCCTCGCCCTCTTTCCATTTCTTTTCATTGGCTACTTTCTTCCCTCCTTTTATTACCCCATTTTTATTTTTCTCTTTTTTTTTGTACATATTCTTGTTAAATGGCATCAAAATGATGTATAGTAATCCTAATCAATAATAAGCGATGTATTTGATGGCTCACATGATTTTTGTGTAAGGTGGTAGAGAGGGTACATCCAGAGGTGGTATCAGTCCGTAGGGGAAGAACAGGGAGGTTTTTGTTGCCGGGATATTGGGACTTTGCTGCATGTGCAGTTCCAACATTTGGGTGGCTGTTTCAGAAGAAGAATATAGAAATAGTTGTTGCATGTCCTTGACATGCTACTCTCCTTAAAACRGATGTGCTGCTTCTCCAAGAGGAAAAAAGGCAAGGACGATTGGGACATAGCAACAAAACAAGTGTTGTTGGAACCGCAGGAAAACGGGTGGCCTCGGTTTCTGAGTAGTTTGGTGCTTTTCTTAAGAAAACTTCCCTGAATAACAACCTGGTAGTCATAACAGTGCTTCTCCTCAAGCACCCATGTGCACATGCCATTTACTGTGGCTGCTTTCAGGTTGTCAAAGGCTGAGTACGGGTGAATGGACCTGCTGGTTCATAGTCCAATCTGCTGGAATAAATAACATAGCGAGTTAAACCGTGACCTGCCTGGTTGCAAACGTGCTGCTGAGTGCACGCACCTCCCTTCCTGCTTTGGAGGCAAATGGGTGAAGCCCCAATGTCAACAAAGCAAAAAGCAAACACACAAATGAACAGGTTCCTGCCTTGCGGATTTAAGAATCTCTTGGTGAATGATATAAAAGGTAACGGAGTAGGAGACTCTACTATTATTCACRAGAGTATTAGCATAGCTTCTTCTCCCAAGGAGGGAGAGCGTGTAATAGAAGCATTTTGCAAAGAAATCCTTCTGCAAAATGTCTCTGAAAAACTGCAYGTAGGACTGGACAGGGAATGTGGTTCTGTTTTCCTGAGTGGAACTGTYGTGGAGAAAAACACTCATTCTGCCTCACCTGAATTTCAGTTTATCTTGTGCCATGGTTCCTTGACTCAGTTTTCAGGTTTCTGGATAAATATTACTCCTCTGCACAAACCAATTGCCGGATAGTCTGTCTTCAGTGGATTGACTGTGAAGTCAGATCCTCGCTGCTCATAAGCAGTAGACGATGGAGTCAGATTATCTAGGTTGTCTATCTAAAAAGCTGGTACTTTTTAAAATATCCTGCTTTTTTTTTTTTTATTTGCCTGAAATATGCAGTTGATCAAGGGAAAGGATGCAGCAGATGAGGAGGCAACGCGTACAGAGCAAGGGAAAGCTATTTTAGGCTGATGATTGATTGCAGAAGAGGAAACGTTAGCAAGTTTTTTGGAAGCTATAGATTGTGTTTTTAGAAGAGAGAAAAATTATGCCAAATCGGGAATGAAACATCTCAACATTTTTAGAAAAAGGAAGAATGTTGTACTAAGCTAGGAGTGTGGTGGGAATAAAGGGGAAACCAAGTGTAATTGCCAGTTAGCTTTTGTGCAAGATGGAGGAGTTCTCACTTTTGCTTGGGTGACTGTGTTTCAGGAGGAATTTACCACTTTCCAGTGAAATATTCTGTAGTTCCCTCTTACCTGCCTTGTTTTGCAACCCTATTTGCACTGTTTATCTCATCCTGCAGCAARCTGAGTGGTGGTAGCAGAGCTGAGGATGAGCAGTTCGGTGGTAGCCCCCAGCATATGGACAGTTTGAGACTGGGCTTTCAGTGCCAGGCTTAGTGAAGATGATGTAAAAATGTGTAAAATATCTAACATTCACTCCATTAAAAACTGAGTTGTTTCTGTGACTGCCAAACAGTTGTTTTTAGGCTGATGAGCAAATTAGAAGAGCCGAGGCCTTTATTAATTTGTACCTATTTGGGCCAGAATGATTCTTCCAGTCCATTCATTGGACTAATTAATTCAAACCAAGCGGA